ATCCATAAGCCCACAAGCAATCAGAAGGTATGAAGGCAATGATTGAGAAATGAAGTTTAATAAGTCAGGTGAAGTATTATTACTCCTCCAAGAGACTTCGTTTACAAATATTTGGACTTCAATTCATCTAGTAGAACATCATGATCAAATCTGCATTTTAGAAAAATTAACTGGAAAGAATAGAAGAATGGGGTAGCAGGGGAAAGAAACAACAATGGCAAGGGAAATAGAAAAAGTACATGACCTGGGCCCTCTGCCCATCCAGCCAGCCTTAGCTTCATTCATTCTCAACCATTCCTTAGTGGTCTGCTTTGATCACTGGCCTTCTTTCAGCTCCCGAAACATGTTATTCATTCCTTTCTGTACTGTTTCCTTGACATTCTCCTTTCGCTTAACTCATCTTGATAGCTGAGCTTTCTTTGACCACCGTCCTACCCATTTAGTAGTACAGGCTCTCAGTGATATGGAGAACCACAGTCAATGTGTTGAATTATCTGTGGGACATTTGGTTAACAGGCAGCTAAAAACTGTAGTATTCCAGTTTGAAGACAATTGATAGGTATTATGATTTGGGCCTCATCATTCTTGGTGATAGCCGAGTATTTCACTCTCGAAATCACAAATGTTAGTAAGTCTCCTGGAAGGAAGGAAAGGAATGACAAGTATGCATCAAAATCTCTTGGGAAGAGGGTCTTTTTTCACATATGCTCTCACCTTCTACCAACTGAAGGTCTCAGTATGAAAAATGCAGAGGTCGAGTTTAAAAATCTGAGAACCATAATATAAGTGTAGCAAAGTCACATGGAATCCTGATGTAGTGCAGCAGGATAAGAACTTGAGTGCTAACCAGACGGTCAGCAGCTCAAACCTACCAGTTGCTCCTCAGAAACCCTATACAGAATTGCTGTGAGTCAGAAAGGACTAGATGGAACTTAAACACAACAACAAAAGTCACACATAATCTTTTCATTTCAATGAATTCACAAATGAAGGTGAGGCAGATGAAGAAAGGATTACCTGACCTTTTGTGATAGAACAATGTCCCAAAAGGCAGTCTAAAGGAGAGTTTCTTTTTTAAAATTGAGGAGGAAAAAAAAACAAGCATTTAAAGAGAAAAAGCCAACTGAGAAGGAAGGCCTGTATTTTGGGGCTCCTGGGAAAGGCTAACACAGTAACGTTCAGAAAGAAGATGGTTAATAATACCAAAAGCTACCACATACTACTGCACACTATGTGCTAAGCACTGACCTATATCTCAAAATACATTGTTGTTAAGTGCCATTGAGTCAGTTCTGATCCATAACGAACCTGTAATAGGGTTTCTGAGCAGATGGTGAGCTTGAACCACCAACCTTGCAGTTCAAAGCAACTTTGCAGTCCAGTTCACTAATCCACAGTGCTACACCAAGATTCCAAAATACATTAACTTTAAATCCTCCAAAAAATCCTATTTTCCATTTTATAGATGAGTAAGGCAGATGGTGGATCGGGTAGATGTGCAGTGAGGAGCTCTGTCACCAACAACACAGAATACCCAGCCAAGCAGGCTCAAGGGATGGTGCTGGAACTCTGAACCACATATAAATGAATATTTAGAAGATTGGAAGGCTTAACAGTTAGGGTAATTTGTAGGAGAATCAAGAAATCCATTGTTTTCTAATTCAAGACACTCAGCTATTCCCAGAGCCGCCATCTTAGGAGAGAACAAGTGGGAGAAGGATCAGAGCAGCCATGAACGCCTGACAGAACCGAGGAGATACAGGTGTGGATAATTCATTTTTTTGGTATCTGTCCACTGCTCATTGGTCTCTTGCTGACTGCTCACCTCCATTCTGGTAACTAGAGGGGATACCTGAGTGTATGGATACCCCACCCCTATCCCTGGAGGGTTCTACTACGCATCCGCACAGATCTCCTCGAAATTTAAAGTGACAGTTTTGACATAAAACCAAAAGGCCACCACTCCTGTGTCTGTCGTTCTGTGGTGGCTTGTGAGTTGCTGTGAACTCAGAGGGCTATGCCACCGGTATTTTAAATAACCAGCAAGGTCACCCATGGTGGACAGGTTTCAGATGAGCTTCCAGACAAAGACAGACTAGGAAGAAAGAGTGACGAACTACTTCCATATCTTTAGTCACTGAAAACCTTATGAATAGCAGAGAAACACTGTCAGATACAGTGCTGGAAAATGAGCCCCTCAGGTTGGAAGGCACTCAAAATGTGACTGGAGAAGAGATGCCTCCTCAAAGTAGAGTTGACCATGATGACATGAATGGAGTTACGCTCGTGGAAGAAAAGCCCACAGAACCTTCATTTGCTGTTGGGGCACAACTCAAAATGAAGATAAACAGCTGTAAACATCCACTAAAAATCAGAACATGAAATGTACGAAATACAAATCTGGGAAAATTGAAAGTTGTCAAAAATGAAATGGAACACATAAACATCGATATTTTAGGCATTAGTGAGCTGAAATGGACTGGTATTGGCCATTTTCAATCTGATGACCACATGGTTTACTATGCCGGGAATGACAAATTGAAAAGGAATGGTGTTGCATTCATCGTCGAAAAGAACATATCTAGATCAGTCATGAGGTACAAATGCTGTATGTGATAGGATAATATCCAGGCGCCTGAAGGGAAGTCCAGTTAATACCACTATTATTCAAATTTATGCACCAACCACTAAAGCCAGTGAGGATGAAATCGAAGAAGTCTACCAACTTCTTCAATCTGAAATTGACCAAACATGCACTCACGATGTACTGCTCATTACTGGTGATTGGAAAGAACAGATTTGATGCATTAAACACTAAAGACCGAAGACCAGAAGAGTTGTGGGATGACATCAAGAACATCATACATGAAGAGAGCAAAAAGTCATAAGAAGACAAAAAAGAAGGAAAAGGTCAAAATGGATGTCAGAAGAGACTCTGAAACTTGCTCTCCAGCGTAGAGATGCTAAAGCAAACGTAAGAAATGAGGAGGTCCAAGAGCTGAACAGAAAATTTCAAAGATCAGCTGGAGAAGATAAAGTCAAATATTATAATAAAATGTGCACAGATCTGGAATCAGAAAACCAAAAAGGAAGAACACACTCAGCATTTCTCAAGCTGGGGGAACTGAAGAAAAAATTCAAGTCTCAACTTTCGTTATTGAAAGATTCTTTGGGCAAATTATTGAATGATGCAGGACGCTTCAAAAGAAGATGGAAGTAATACACAGAGTCACTGTACCAAAAGGAAACGATAATGTTCAACCATTTCAAGAGGGAGCATATGATCAAGAGCCAATGATACTCAGAGAAGAAGTCCAAGGTACATTGAAGGAATTGGCAAAAATAAAGGCACCAGGAAGTGATGGAATGAAAGTTGAAATCTTTCAAGAAAGTGAGGCGGTACAGGAGGCACTCACTCATCTGTGCCAAGAAATTTGGAAGACAACTATCTGGCCGACTGATTGGAAGAGATCCGTATTTGTGCCCATTCCAAAGAGAGGTGACCCAAGTCATGGTGTTTTCAATAACCTCATATGCATGCGAAAGCTGGACAGTGAACAAGGAAGACCATAGAAGAAATTACGTCTTTGAATTATGGTGTTGAAGGAGAATACTAAAAGTGCCATGGGCTGCCAAAAGAACCAACAGAACTGCTTTGGAAGAAGTGCAGCCAGAGTGCTCCTTACAGGCCAAGATGGCCAAACTTCGTCTCTGATACTTTGGACATACTGTCAGGAGGAACAGTCACTGGAAAAGGAGATCATGTTTGGTAAGATGGAGGGTCACAGAAAAAGACGAAGACCCCCAACAAAAGGGATTGGCCAGGTGGCAGCAACGATGGACTCAAGCATGGCAACAGTAGTGAGGTTGGCCCAGGATCGGGCAGTGTTTCGTTATCCTGTGCATAAGGTCGCTATGAGTCGGTAGAACCTAACAACAACAAAGACAGATAGTGTTCTGCTGTGGATTAATTAATTAACTAATTAAGGCTGCAAAGCTGTTTGAACTGGAATGTTGGCGGTTCAAGCTCACCAGCCGCACCTCAGGAACTCTATGGGTCAGATCTGATTCTACTATGGCACTTTACAACAAGACAGATGACTAAGAAAGTTGACCAAGGTCATACAGCTAGTATGTAGCAAGCTGAGATGAGATCCCAGGTCTGTCTTCAAAACCAAGAGACTGAAGTCGAAAATACTCAGTAGAGAAAAGTTTGTTTTTTGAAGAAAAAGGACAACCTCTTGTAAAACGGCAGGAAACGACGGGAGAAGATCGTTTGGGGAAGATGAGAAAATACTTGCTCTGAAAGTCCCTCTCCTGCAACCAAAGAAGCACTGAGCGATATGGGGGAGGGGCTTGAGAGGCGAAAGGTTTGGAGCTGGAGCTGTGGAGACTGGGACATGCCAGAGAAAAGCACAGGGTCAAAACCAACTAGACCCCTGAAGCACAAATCAGATCCAGTGAGTTCTACATTCACATCCTAGAGGCCTATTTACTGTAATTCGAGGAAGATTCTTCTAGGCGCTGAAACGATCCATATCATACATAACTTCTCTGAGAATTAACAGTCTCTGAAGCAACCAAAATAAATGACCACCAGACGCTAAGAAAAACACATTCTCCCTGGGAATGCACTCAGAGAGCTATTATGAGTACACCCCAAGGCAATACTGGCTTTTCGGGTGGAGGGCAAGAGTAGCGAACGGAAGGGCAATTCATACGTGAGTTCGCTCCCAACCCGCGCCAGGACTCTCTTGGGAGATCACAGAGGGATGCGAAGCGCCAGCCCAGCAGCTGCACCCGTGTTAGGCTGGAATGCGACTACCTGAGATCCTCGGAAGTCAGTAGAAGCCCTTCCCCCACAGCCTCTACCATCCTAGGTGGTCGCCTTCCGGCTCTCTGGCTCTCCGGGGTGTACCGGGTCCCGAAAGAGCACAACCGCGCCATGCAGCTTCTTAACCAGCAGCCCTATTAGGATAAAACCCCTACAAGCAACTTACCCGTCCTGTTCGGCCCACGATAGCCCGGGCTCCTTTCTGGACACCCAGGGCTCCCTAGCATTTCCACCAATGCCGAAGCAAAATCAGGGCGCGGAGGAGGGACTGACAGTCTACCACCAATCAGATCAGACGCAAGGCGCGTCCGGGCGCACATAACTAGTTCCCGCCTTTGGGAGGGAAAAAAAAACCACGGTTGGCGCCAAAGTCCCCTAGTCTTCAGTGAGTCTTAAGGAAAGGGTACCCGGTTTAGACTGACGTGAAAGATATGTGGGCGTGGCTTCCTGCGGAAGGGGTGGGGCATACGGGGGTAGGACTAGGGCCGAAGACGCTTTCTAATGAAAGGGAAGTAAACCTTGAGAATTCCTAGTACTAGACAGCCTACTGAGAATCGACTGTAGGCTAGACATGGCGTTGGGAGCACGACGAATAAGCACTTTTCCTTGCCCTCGTCTGACACCTTTCTGGATGATAGGCAAACAACTTAACCAGGGTGTTGGGCACTCTGAGGATGAGAAAACAGTCAGTCAAGTGGGGTGAAAAGGAGTTGTTGTTAGGTGCCATCCAGTCGGCGGATAGCGACTCTGCACAACAGAAGGAAACACTGCCCAATCCTGGGCCAGCCTCACAACTGTTGCCACGCTTGAGCCCACTGATACTGCCACTCTGTCAATCCATCTTGCTGGAGGTCTTCCTCTTTTTCTCTGACCCTCCACCTTACCAAACATGATATCCTTCTCCAGTGACTGTTCCCTCCTGACAATATGTCCGAAATATGAGACATGAAGTTTGGCCATCGTGGCCTCCAAGAAACACTGTGGCTGCACTTCTTCCAACATAGATCAGTTGGTTCTTTTGGCAGCCCATGGCACTTTCAATATTCTCCAACATCATAACTCAAATGCATCAATTCTGTGGTTTTCCTTATCACTGTCCAGCTTTCACATGCATCTGAGGTTATTGAAAATATCATGGCTTGAGTCAGGTGCACCTTAGTCTTCAAGCTGACATCTTTGCTCTTCAACACTTGAAAAAGGTCTTGTGCAGCAGATTTGCCCAATGCAATACGTCGTCTGATCTCTTGACTGCTGCTTCCGTGAGTGTTGATATTTGAGTCAGAAGAATGAAGTCCTTGACAATTTCAATCTTTTCTCCATTGATAAGAATGTTTATCCGTCCAGTGGTGAGGAATTTTGTTTTCTTTACACTGAGATGTAAACCTTATCAAAGGCTGGTGCTCTTTGATCTTCATCAGTATTTCAAGTCCTCTTCACTTTCAGCAAGCAAGGCTGTATCATCTGCATATCGCAGGTTGTTAATGAGTCTTCCTCCAATCCTGATGCTATGTTTTTCTTCATAGAACCCAGCTTCTCGTATTATTTGCTTAGCATCCAGATTGAATAAGTATGGTGAAAGAATACAACCCTGTCACATACCTTTCTTAATTTTAAACCATTCAGTGTTCCCATGTTCTGCTTGAACAACTGCCTCTTGGTCCACATACAGATTCCTCATGAGCACAATTAAGTGTTGTGGAATACTTATACTTCCCAATGTTGTCCATAGCTTGTTATGATCTACACAATCAAAAGCCTTTGCATAGTTAATAAAGCACAGGTAAACATCTTTCTGATATTCTCTGCTTTCAGCCAAGATCCATTGGACATCAGCAATGATCTCCCTCGTTCCACGGCCTCTTCTGAATCCAACTTGAACCTCTCGAAGTTCTCTGTCAATGTATGCTTACAGCTATTTCTGTATTACCTTTAGTAAAACTTTACTCGCATGGGATATCAAAGATATTGTCTGATGATTTCCACATTCCGCTGGGTCACTTCTCTTTGGAATGGGCACAAATACGGATTTCCTCCAATCAGTTGGCCAGATAGTTGTCTTCCAAATTTCTTGGCAGAGATGAGTGAGCGCCTCCTGTGCTGCCTTTCTTGAAAGATTTCAACTTTTATTCCATCACTTCCTGGTACCTTGTTCTTTGCCAATTCCTTCAATGCACCTTGGACCTCCTCCTTCACTATCATTGGCTCTTAAGCATATGCTACCTCTTGAAACGGCCCTGAAACCTGTACACCATGGATGTGATCCTGCTGGTATTTAAAATACCAGTGGCATAGCTTCCAGAATCACAGCAACTCGCAAGCCACCATAGTACGACAAACTGACAGACTAGTGGTGGTGAAAAGGAGTAGAAAACTGTTTAGCGGATAAAATATCTGAATTCGTTTCATAGAACTTGTAGAAACCAGGAGACTGTGTCTGCACTCTTGGTTATTGGAAATTATAACAAAACTGCCCCTTGGTTACCTCATCGTTTCCCCACCTTGATTGCTAGCCACTTCCTCCCATTTGCCCATCATGTTGTTGAGTGCCCTGAGTAAATTCCAACTCATAAAGACAACTATCCTATAGGGTTTCCAAGGCAGGGCACCAGCAGAGTTTAAGGGTCTAATCTTTACACATCCTCACCAGCATTTTTTCTTTTCTGTTTGGTTGTTTGTTATTAATGCTGGGTGAGGACTCCTAGAATGGTGCTGTAGGATAAGCACTGGGCTGCAAGCCACAAGGTTGGAAGTTCAAACTCACTAGATGCTCCTTGGAAACCCTATGTTGTTATTAAGTGTGGTTCAAAGTCATCTTTAGGTCCATGCTTATCCTATACCACCACACCAGGACTCCTTATACAGGATCTCTTTGAGTAGGAACTGCCTGGAGGGTACTTTACAATGCTGGGGTGAAATGATACTTCATTGTTGTTTTGATTTGGTGTGTATCTGTGGGTTAATGTGCTGGACTGCAAAGTTGGTTTGAACCACATGATCAGATTAGTGATTCAAGTTTACTGGCTGCTCCTTGGGAAACCCCATGCAGAGTCACTATGGGTTGGAACTGACTCAATGTCCCGCAACAACAGCAACAACAATGGCAAAGATTAAGGAGCTCTGGTAGCATAGTAGTTACTAACCACAAGGTCAGCAGTACCAAAATACCCATCTTCAGCGGGTGAAAAAGATGAGGCTTTAGGCTCTCATAAAGATTTACAGCCTACAGCCTCTGAAACCCTATGCAGGTTCACTTTGATGGAACTGATTCCATGACACATAACAAACAACATGTTTGTTGGATGTCTAAATGTCTTAATTGGTGCAGTGCCTGTTCATGTTCTATCCCCATTTAAAAATTAGATTGTCTTTTTCTTGTTGAGCTGTTTAAGTAGTCTATAAATTTTAGAGATTAGTCCTTCATCAGATATGTCATTTGACAAATTTTTTTGTCCGGTCTATAGGTGCTCTTTTTACCTTTGTGGTGAACTCTCTTGAGGCACAGAAATGGTTAATTTTTAGAAGGTCCTAGTCATCTAATTTGTCTTCTACTGTTTGTTGTGTTTTTAGATAGGTTGTTAATGTCTGTATGACATGGATTAGGGTCCCTATGTCTTTTTAATTTCTGAACAGTGTCTTCTGAAGTACAAACGTTTTGAATTTTGATGAATTCAACCTTATCAAAATTTTTAAATTGTGATTTTATGTTCTATGTAAAAATACTTAACCCAAATTTATGAATCTTTTATGTTTTATAAACCGTTAAACCATATAGTATCCTATGATGACATTTCCTTTCTATACAATTTTTTATTTCCCCTGAAATAGTAACAGTTGTTTTTTATTTTTGTTTACTTGATTATGAACCATATACACTAATTCATCCCCTCACTTAAGTACATTATGTAATTAATTTAGTCACCCTATGGTGGTGGTGGTGGTGGTGGTAGTGTACCGTGGAGTTGGTTCCAACTCATAGCCACCCTGTATAGAGTTTCTGAGGCTGTAAATCTTTATGGGAGCAGAAAGCCTCCTCTTTCTCCCACGCAACGACTGGTAGTTTCGAACTGCTGACCTTGAAGTTAGCAGCCCGACCTGTAAACACTACACTGTCAGAGCTCCTTAGTCTCCCCATAGATGTTAGTATTTTTGCTGATATACCACTGAAAGTCTTGAGATCTCCCCTACCAGTCATCCTGATCATTGGTTTTACCTTTTTCATCCTGTGCTAAATCTGTTTTCTAAATTTCATGTTTTCCTCTTTCTTAGTTTACACCCTTTTAATAAAGAAGTTTGTCTTTCAATATATTCCTGAGAAAGTATGCATGATAACAACACAAACCACATTTTTTTAGGTCTTTTGTGTCTTATAAAATGTCAGTGGATTATTTTTAGTGAATATTTAATTTTAGATTAGAAGTAATTCTCCCACAGACTTGTAATTCCCAGTGTTGCTGTTACGGTATCTCTGGGAATTATAACGTTATATAGATTTTTAAGGAAACCACCTACCCAATAATAGTTCTGTTAAAAATAGTAATTCTGCTAAGAATGTCAATCTAAGTCTTGATCCTTCTTTTGTATGTAATCTTCTCTTTCCTTTCTGTCTTTCTGGTGGGTTCTTGAAAGTTTCTCTTAATTCCCAGTGCTCTTTAATGATATTATACTTGGGTGTGGCTATTGTTTTCATCCATTGTGTGGCTATACACTTGGGGATCTTCTCAATTTTCTTGAAAGTGTTCTTATACTATATGTAAATATATTTTGCATGATTTTCTAGTTTTTTTTTTTTTAAGTTTTACTGGAGTTTGAGATTTCCGAGAAGCAAACATTCAAACACTAAGACAAAAATTCAAATTCAAATATTGTTGTTGTTGTTAAATACCATCAGGTCAATTCTGACTTAGAGTGTTGTATAACCGAATAAAACACTGCTCTATCCTATACCATCGTCACAATTGTTGCCATGTCTGAACCCATTGCTGCAGGCACTAACTGTATCAGTCCATCTCACTGAAGATTTTCTTCTTTTTTGCTGACTCGCTGCTTTACCAAGCACTGTGGCCTTTTCTAAGGACTGGCTCCTTCTGATAATAAGTCCAAAGTGGTTAAGAAAAAGTCCAACTCAGAGCAACCATGTATGGGGTTTCCGAGGCTATGAATCTTTCTAAGAGCAAAATGTCTCAGCTTTTTCCAGTAGACATGGC